AGAATACATGAAACAGTTTTGTCATTAATGGTAGATATAGATGATACCTCATTCATATTATATTTTTCTGCAAACATATGAATTGTTGATTGATTGGTAAAATTAACTTTTTTACAGATTTTACATTTTAAACATTTCTCATCTAGAATGAAAACAAGAGACACATAATGATTGTGTTTATATGGACATGGAGGGTATATTTCCTCAAAACAAAACAGCAAATTAACAATATCTGATGATAAACATAGAATACGAAGTTCAATATTAAGATCAAACATAATTTTATATTTTCGGAGAGAACTAATTGTTCTATAATAACACTGAACTCTTGTAGAACACACAGTTGAAAGAGCAAGAACACAAAGAAATCCAGACCATACAAATTCTTTACACATATCCTTAACAAGGTCATCTTTTAATTTTCCTGAGTCTATAGAATGTGTGGATACAGACACTGTTAACCAATTATCAATTGATGAAAACTCATTTGGATACTTTGAGCACAAGCTTACAAAAGATGGATGATTACTGTAAAAAAGGCATTTAAATATAAATCAATTGCTGTCAGTATTTTTAAATCCATTGCCAGACGATTATCACCACACAGATAAATCGAAAATAAACTAAATAAGCAATTGCCAGTAGATTCATATCTATAAAAAGGGCAATTAAAAATTTTTTAAGTAAAAAAAGTTCTACAATAAGCTCAATGGAAAATAAAATTGGATTTAATCATTTATTTACATTAAATCAGTTTGGTAAAAAGTTGAATCAATTAGATCAAGGCAAAAAATATATTTCATAATATTATTACTATATAAATTTACATCCCCAAATGAACGAACGCAGAGATAATATGTTTACAAATTTTAAATTCAACTTTTTATTTTACTTGTTAGGATAAATAAAGTAAATCTTACTTCACTACCATAGTTGTTCTTGACTGGCATTTCTGAGCGCAACTCTTGAATTCAACAAAAAGACTCAAAAGAAACTCAACCTCAACAGAAATATTTCTCTTTATTGACTTATTAACAGTCAACAACTGATAAAAAATCTGACTTTATGAAGGAGATTAATCTTTACTGACGATTTTGAATAAAGAGTTTGTAAATTTTCGATAAATCCATTTTCAAGCAAATACCTTACAGATTGTAGAGAAATGCACGCCACATCAAAAATTATTTAAAAATCATTTAAAACATTCAAAGAATTATTTTTAGAAAAGGTTTCTTTTAAGCTAGTCAGGCGGCAATCACATATATTTAATTCGACTAACTTAGCCTGAAGTTACGCTACCGAACGATGAAAATAAAATAATTTTAAGTACTTTAACAACATTTTAAAATCTCGTCAGCCGAATAAAAGGGCCAAATAAGTCGCAAGATTTTTTTGACTAACTCGGCCTTAAGTTACGTTACCGAACAGTAAAAATAAAAAGATTTAAAGGACTTAAATAATTTTTTAAAATCTCGTCAGCCGAATAAACGGTGCAGATAAGTCCCTAGGTTTCTTGACTAACTTGGTCCGAAGTTACGCTACCGAAAAAGAAATTACAAGCCGCGCTCGACACGGGCTATTTATTACATGCGCCTGTACTTATCATAGTTTATTAGGTATTGCTGTTTAGACCAAAAAAATAAAGATTTTATTTAATTTCGAAAATTTCAAAAATATATAACATATTTCATTAGCCTGATAGTTGTTTAGTAAAAAAGATGTTAGTCAATGCGCCTAACAAGACTAACGCTAAACCCGGCCCTGTATATATATATATATATATATATATATATATATATATATATATATATATATATATATATATATATATATATATATATATATATATATATATATATATATATATATATATATATACAGTATATATATATATACACTGTGTCAAAAAAGTTTTCATCCACCTATCCTATACATCTTTCAGACGTGATAACTTTACATTCAGCAAAGATATAAGCATAATTTCAACTTAATTATATCAGTTAACCATTCAAGAAGTATTGTATAAAAAGATTTTACAAAATAATGAATAGAAATTAAAATACAACATTTAAACATAAACAATGCCTGTTTTTGCGCCAAAAAAGTTTTCATCCACCCTGCACTCCAACCTCAATTTGTTATTAAATCAGTATTAAAGTATCATTTTTAAAATATAAATTAGATTTAGTAAGATTTTTGTATTTTTTTTTTTTTATATGAGTTTTTTATATTTTTTATTTTTGTTAGATTATTAATAAAAATGAGAGTTGCAGAGGAAATTAGATTGCTTATTGTTAGACTATGGAAAGAGGGAAAATCACAGCGAAATATAGGAAAAATAGTAAAGAAATCGCGTGCAACTGTGCAGTCTATTATTAAGAAATACCAAACCACCAAAAAAATTGCTGATAAGCCACGTACAGGGCGTCCAAATAAAATTCAAGTATTGCATCGACGAGCTATATTAAGAACAGTCATCCAGAATCCTAAAATAAGTGCTCCAAAACTCGCTGGAATGCTGAAAAATGATTACAATTTAAAAGTGGACCCTGAAACTGTTAGAATAACCTTAAGAAGAGCTGGATACAATGGTAGAGTACCATTGAAAAAGCCCTATATCAGCAAAGTCAACAAAGCCAAACAACTACACTTTGCAAAACTTTATATCAATGAACCACAAACATTCTGGGAATCGGTCCTTTTCAGCGATGAATCAAAATTTAATGTGTTTTCATCAGTTAAAGTTTGGAGAAAACCAAATGAAGCATTTAAAAAACAAAACTTGTGTCCAACGGTGAAGCATGTCGGAGGAAGTGTTTTAGTGTGGGGGTGTATGAGTGCTTCAGGTGTAGGAAACTTGGTTTTCATTGATGGAAATATGGATCAAAATGTGTATTTAAACATTCTAAAAAATAATCTGGAAGAAAGTGCCCACAACTTGGGACTTACTAGGTCATTTACTTTTCAGCAAGATAACGATCCAAAACATACTGCCAAACGTGTCAAGGAATGGCTTATATTTAAAATAGCTAAGCAACTTCATACACCCCCACAATCTCCAGATTTGAATCCTATTGAACATCTGTGGGATGAATTGGGTAGAAGAATTAGGACCCACGATGTGAGGAATCAACAACAACTCCAATTAGTAATTATGAAAGAGTGGGGCTTAATCACTCCAGAAATTACTAAAAAATTAGTTTGTTCAATGAAAAACAGACTACACGAAATAATAAAAGCTCGTGGTGGAAACACAAGTTATTAAAACACTAATAAATTGAGTTCGTATGACAATTTTATTTGATTTTTGTAAAGTGGATGAAAACTTTTTTGAGACAAAGATGTCTATCTTTTATTCCAAAATGCTGTATTTTATTTGTAACTCATTACTTTAAAAAACTTTTTTTGTACAATATTTCTTAAATGTTAAATGATATAATTTAGTTTATATCATGCTTGCATCTTTGCTGAATAAAAAGTTATTGCATTTTTAAAATGTGCAAGATAAGTGGATGAAAACTTTTTTGACACTGTGTATATACAGGGACTACTTAGTCCCTGTATATATATATCTGGGACGCAGGGCATTGAATCGATGTGAAATCGACGAGAGGGCTGACTTTAGCGCCTTCAATATACCAACATGTAATGTTAATAGCTTAAATAAAAGAGTGGTATTTAAAGATTATTGATAAGCTGCAACAAATGTTGATTCATATAGATTATATAATGTATTAACTTTAATTAATTAATTTTTTTAAGCCTTTTTATAGTACTTTTAAAGTAGTAAAAGTATTTTTATTAAGATGTTTATATGATGATTGTATTGCAATAATAAATACTACTTAAATATTTTATGACTACTTAAATATTTATGACTATTACTTACTTATTATATTATGAATATTACTTACTTAATTACTTAATTATTATATTTATGAGTATTACTTGCTTAATTATTTATGACTACTTAAATATTTTATGATCAAAAATGAAAAACAGTAACATACTATTACAGTACGAAGATTTTATTTGATTTTGAGTATAATTACGTTTTGATGCAAATCAAGTCTTCAAACTGTTACTAACAGTTTTAGGGGTACTTGAGTTACTTTACACTAAAGTAACTTTTTTAGTACTAAATAAAGTTACTTTACACTAAAGTAACTTGAGTTACTTTAGACTAAAGTAACTTTTTTAGTACTAAATAAAGTTGAGTACAAAAAAACATAAGAATGTTAAGTTATTATTGTACTAAACTAAACCTATTTTTAAGGTTATAATATATAAGAAATATTAACTTTATTCTCTATTTAAAAATAAATTTATAAAACCATTACAGACATGCCTAGAAAATGCTCAGTAGGTAATTGTCGTGGAAATTATGACAGTGCAAATGAGCATGTTAAAGTTTACAAATTTCCAAGTGACAAAGAATTATGTGAAAGATGGTTAGCAGCTTTACCAAATAAAATTCAATCACCAACAGACAATATGGGTGTTTGTGAAAAGCACTGGCCTTTGGGGTGTAGTATGCACTATCCAAAAAGATCTAAATATCAGGTGAGTCGAATTCATATATATAAACAAAAATTTCAAATCAATGTTGTAGTTATACTTGTAAGCTTTATTTAGTTCAAATTAAATAGATAATCTAAAATCAATGGAAACTTTTTAGATTCCATCAGATCCTCCTTCTTTATTTCCTGGGTGTTTTCCTTAAATGTTACGACAAACAGGCAAAACATTCCGTCAAACAAATTTTGAAAAAATTTCAATTGAATCAAGAAACTCATTCTGTGATGAACTCGATTCTTTCAACAAGATTGATAAAATAAAAAATTTTGAAGTCAAACAGTTTCTTACAGATGTAAAGCAGCGGTAAGAAAAGTTCTAATTAAATATAATTTTTGTAGGATTTTTTTATGTTAGTATTACTAATAAATAATTCTTTTAAATATTTCAAGGTTTCCTGATTATTTTGTTGTTACATAGGATCTGACTGTTTTTAATATGACATTTTCGCGTCCACCAGAAACTAATATTTCTGTTACAATCAATACTCACACTCAACAGTTACATGCTTATATCAAACACACACAAATTCATTGCAATGATATTTTGGGGTTTTCTCACAAACTCACTCAGTGGTCGCAGTTAGAAGCAATTATTTCAAGAATGAAGTCATCTAAACCTGAATTAAGCGAGGAACTAAAACATTTATTGCAAGAGATTGAATGTACATATGGAGAAAAATCTGATGAAATAAATTTTTTGATTGAACAACTACAACTGCAGATGATGCCTGTGAGAGGCAAGCGTTACTCTACACTAGTTGTACGACGAGCTTTAGAACTATACCTTTCTTCAAGATGCTGTTATCGAATTCTTTGTGATACACTTTCACTCCCACATCCAAGAACTCTTAAATTAAAATTAGGCAGAATCGGTGAAGTAGGAACACAAAAGGAATGTGAAGAATGTATTAAAACCGTGTTTGAAACATTAACTATTTCGGAAAAACGTTGCTGCCTGTTATTTGATGAAATGTATGTGAAACCAACTATACGTTTTCGTGGATGTCATTTAATTGGTTATAGTGAAGACAATCCTGCTGAAATTGCCAAGACAATTCTTTGTTTTATGATTAAGCCAATGTTTGGAAAACCAGCTTTTGTGTGTCGTATGGCCCCAGTTTATAAGCTATCTGGCATTTTTGTACAAAATTTAATTGTTGAAATCACACAGACAGTTGCTAAACTTGGTGGAGAAATTTTATGCCTTATTTCAGACAATCTTCCCACAAATCGTAGAATATATCAATTTTTTGCTTTAAGTTTAAATGAGCCATGGCTTGGTAATATTTGCAACCAAAGTATAATAATGCTTCATGATCCAGTGCACTTGTTTAAATCAATTCGAAATAACTGGCTTACAGAAAAAACTGGAACAATTCATCTGACACTAAATAGTCAATTATTTAAAGGGTATTGGAAAGATTTGGTAAGTTTATATGAAAAAGAAAAAAATAATGTTATCAAGTTGACAAATCTTTCATACAAAGCTATTCATCCAGGTATAATTGATCGACAAAATGTCACCCATATGTGTGGTGTTGTTAATGAGAAGACTGTAGCAGCCCTTAAAATTTGTGATTTTAAAGAGACAAGCGAGTTCCTTGAAAGAATATTATTGATATGGAATTACCTTAATATTAAACAAGAAGGTATGGACATACGTTTAAATGATCCAAATAGAGCTTCATACAAAAATGTAAATGATAAACGACTTCAAGAGATTTTGACATTTGCTGAAGCTGTTGCAAAAATGCCAGGAGGAAAGGGCTGGAAGCGGAACAAATCATTCACTAGTGAAACGAAAATTTCTTTGTCGAATATGCTTTACGGAATTGTAGATTTAATCCGAAAATTGCTGAATGAAGATCATCAATATGTTCTTCCCGGAATATTTCAGACAGATCGGTTAGAAGGAGAATTTGGAATATACAGGTAGTTAAATAATTCCTTACCTATTTATGATCAGATTGATATTGTTGTTATTACATTTAAGCAGGGTCAGACTGGCACTGAAGGGCCCGGGGGCAAAAATAAATTAAATCCTTAATCACATATTTTTTGGTTATAAGTAGAAATAACTTTTATTTAGAAATAACTGGTATTTTGTAACATCAAAAATGATATTTCATAGAAATAACTATTTTTATGTATTTTTTATGTATTTTATGTATTTTTTATGTATTTTATTAAATTTTTATGTATTTTTTGTGGCAGGGGCTCTGGGGTAAATCCCTCCCAACCCCCCTCACCACTCTGACCCTACATTTAAGAACACTAATTTTCGTATGTATCTTTAAATAAAATTCAAATTATATATAGTTTAGATTTTTTTATGCCAGGCAACTTTGTGGAGGCAGTTATCATGTTTCGGTTGAAGAAGTTAAAAATAGTCTTCGTTTACAACGCCTGAAGTTGTTTAGTAAATTGGATGCTATGGGTGTACCTATTTCTCAATGCTCAATTATTCAATCAGAGTGTTGTCAATTAGATCTGAATGAGGATGACATTAGTTATCTTGATACATCTGTCTCTTCAATTGATGCAATTTCCGATAAAAGAAAATGCTGCCCTATATTACATTTCGGGTTATGTCCAGCATAAATTTTTACCAAGTATATCCGTATCTGGTACCTTTGTTACCAATGCATCTGAGTTTACTGAGTTAGTATCTCGTGGTCGACTATGTCACCCTACTGAGGATCTATTTCAATATGTCAGATATGCGTATTCTCTTTTTATTTTATTACCTAATGCAGAGATGCGGTTCCAGTGCGTTAGATACATTTCTAAACTTTTTATATATTTCTATACAGCTTTACCTTTCGATTTACAAGCATTACCAATCAACACAGTTGTTTCCACCATTTTGAATTGTTTTTTCAAGGGTCTAACGAAATTGAATGAATCGTCAGACAAAGTTTCTTTAAATATTGAAGACCGCAAAGTTAAAAAGTTTTGCAAATAAATCAAACAACACGCAATATGTGGTTAAAATGGTTATTTTTTAAAATTGTTAACATTGTTTTAACACAGAAGTTAGATCATTTTAGATAATCAACTTTTTTTATTGTTGAATTTTGAAAATTCTTATATTTATAATTATATTTATTATTTAAAATTCTTATATTTATTAATGTTTGAAGATTAATAAATTATGAAATAATTTTAATTTTTAATGAAATGATTTAAATGGTTTCAAGTAATTAAATTTTATAAGATCCCTTTATTTACTGCATAAGATCTTTTGATTAACTACATAAGATCAATTTATTTACTAATTAAAGATTAAAGTTACTAATCCAGGCCTTATAAAAATAAGATTCCTATTTTACTATAAATTTTCATAAATTTAATGAGTTATGAGATTAAGATGTTATTTAATGAGAAACAAAAAATAACTCTGAATAACTGTTAATATTAGTATCAAAATCATTTAAGTGTTAAACTTCAAAAATTTTTCAAACATATTCAACTTTCAGCCCTCTCGTCAAAATCGCATGAAATCGAAGTTGCGCGTCCCGGTATTTTAGTAGTCCCTGTATATATATATATATATATATATATATATATATATATATATATATATATATATATATATATATATATATATATATATATATATATATATATATATATATATATAGTGCTTATGATGCTTTTTAACCAATTTTTGATTCTTTGTAGTGTACTGAAAGCTCTCTCGCTAGTAGTCTTTGTTGCTGGTATCAGAAGGATATGTTTTATCAACTTTCTGATTTCTGATAATAATTCCTTTTCAACTTCACTTGGTTCTCTGTAAAACACACAAACTTAAGTATTATCATACACAGGGCCGGCCTTACGAATTACGGGGCCCAATTTAACGAATGCTTGCGGGGCCCACCTAATTTTTTTTTTTACAATAACTACTATTAATAAAATTATTGAAACACATTTATTATACAAAAAAACATAACTCCACAAACGAATCAATAAACAATAATAAAAATATTACAATGAATTTAAACAAAACAGTTCTTGTTATTGTCATAATAAACAAATAATCTATAAGTCAAAGTGGATCTTTCTTGCTTTTTTGCTTGCGAAATCTTTTAGAATTTTTTCATAATTAATTTCTCTACTTATAGGAGATTCAATTGATATTAGTGCCAAATTGTTTAGTCGTTCTTGGTTAATTACTGACCTAAGGTAGGTTTTAATTAATTTTAGTTTTGAAAAACTTCTTTCACCGGAAGCGACTGTAACTGGAATTGTCATCAGTATTTTTAGGGCTATGAACAAATTTGGAAATGCAGTCGACCTATCATTACAAGCCAAATATTTAAAGAGTTCTTTGGGTTTTTGTTGTTGAACGGGCAGTATTGGCTTAATTGCCTTCATTTCTTCGGAAAGCATGAACCCTTCTATATCTTTTGTAATGTCTGTCAAATCAATTTCTAGGTCGGCTGAATGTTTTCTGAGATCTTCTTTAGACATATTCTGAAAATTATATAGAAATCCAAAAAGTTTATGGTGTTCTTTCAGCTGCATAAACCGTGGTTGAAGAGATTGCAATGCTTTGTCTACAACTTGATTGAAAAAATTTACCCGGAATTCTGTCTTGGGGTCTAAAATTGGTTCGTCAGAAGTTTCATAAAGAAACATTTTCTTTTTCTTGTAACAGCGCTTCTGTTGAAATATGGGTTCAACTTCTAACTCATTTGCAAGCTCTTTGGCATCAATCAATGCAGCTACAAAGCCTGTTTTTTGGTATGTATTCAACCAATCAAACAATTTTTCAAAAGATGTCAGCCCTGCGGCAATGTCTATGGTATTGCTTTAAAGTTCCTTGCTAGTAAAATTTATTTGAAACAATAAAGAGTGCTAAAAACATAGTGCAACCAGAAACCTATAGTTTGTCATTTGGCTTACTAATGATTCAGCCTCACTTTTCCCTTGAGCATCATTTGTGCTTTTTGCTAGTTCTTCTAAAGCATCACACACTTCTGCGGCTTGAAATCGTACAGCTTTAACACTTTCCATTCTACATTCCGATCTTGTTTCTGATAATGGTTTAACAGACAGGCCTTTCACATGCTTTTTAAAAACAGTCCATCTTTTTGTAGATGAAGCAAAAAGGGTGTAAATACGCTGCAGGGTTCCAAAAAATGTCATGGCATCTGAACACCTCTTAGCCATATCTCCTAAAACAAGATTATAATTATGGCACACACAAGGAGTATAGAAAGCTCGTGAATTTCTTTCCAAAAGTCGTGCTTGCACTCCAGAATTGTGCCCTTTCATATTAGCTCCATTGTCATACCCTTGTCCTCTGATGTTTTCAACATCTAGTCCTAGCATTTCAATTTCTTTCACAAGAGTGTTAAATAAATTTTCACCAGTGCTGCTCTCAACTTTAATAAACTTTATAAAATGTTAATAAATTCCTGCTGGGACATCGGAGTGTGTGCCATCAGCGACATATCTTAGCACCATTGACATCTGTTCCTGATGGCTGATATCAGGAGTGCAGTCAAGAATCACTGCAAAATACTTTGCCGACTTAATTCTAGCAATAATTTCCTGTAGAACAGCTTGGCCTATAGTATCAATAATTTCATCTTGTATGGTCTTGCCTAAATAATGATCATGAATGTCTTTGTTAATAATTTTCTGTATATGATCTTGCATAACTGGATCAAATTTTCCTAGCAATTCAATGACGTCTAGAAAATTGCCATTATGTGGATTTCCAATTTGTTCTTCAGACCCACGAAATGCCAAGTTCCTTTCTGCCAAAAACTGTACAGAAGCAACAAGTCGCTCAAAGACTTGATTCCAGCGTTTTGTTTCCTGTCTTATTAATTTTTCATTTAATGTATCAACAGTTAATCCAGTAGATAACCTTTGCTGCAGTTCATAGCAATTAAGTGTACATTGCAAATGTTTTTTTGATTTTTCATGATCCTCTAATCTTGTATGAATATTTGACCAGCTGTCAAATCCAGAAGTAGCAAGTGCAGAATCAGAATTTGTGTCAAAAAGTTTGCAATAGTAACAGTAAACTTTATTAAATGATTCAGAATATATTAGCCATGGTCGTTCTATAACTTACTTATTTTTTAATTTTCTTTTACAGTGAAATTTCGAAAAAAGTAACCCTTTTTCATTTTGCGGAAAATTTTCTACAGTGATCTTAGGGGGTCCTTCGTTCACTAAATAATCTCTGACATTTTGATTTATTTTATTTGGCCATGTAGCAGGGTCATCTTTTATCTTTAAAATATCACATAGTGCTGGGTTTGAATTTTCTTCTCTTGATTCTGAAATATCCTCATTATCCTTGTGTGTGTTAACAGATATATTTATACATAATTCAGATGTATTTTGTTGAGCATTACATCCAGAAAGAAAACTACTACTAGCTTCTGATGTAATTTCTTTAGAAATATTTGTTTCACTGTCGTCTGACTCGACTTGTTTGTCTGATTTTTCAGTTTCAAACAGATCTACTGATTTACTCAAATATTTATCTAACGCACCTTTTTCTTTTTCTGCTTCAGTTTTCTTTACCTTAGCTAAGGTTCTCTTCATGTTACCACTTAGATAATTTCTACCGACGTCCCTTTGTCTTTTACTCATATTTTGGCTTGTGTTCTTTAAAACTAAAAACTTATCTCTTTTTTTACTACTAAATTGCACAATAAAATAAAATAGTTTAATTAAACTAAAATAAATAAAAAATCCCCCTTACAAAATTAAAAGTAAAATTAACAAATGTAAGCAATTGATTACTGCAAATATCTTAATATAAATAAACAAACATTTAATATTAAGATTATTTATTAGACTTGAAAAAAAGTACTCTTAAAATTATCCAATAAAATTTATATTGTCTTAAATATAAAATATTTACTGAAAAGCGAGAAAAGTTTGCGTTAAACAAAAGTAAATAAAACTAATAGTAAACAAAATGAAAAATAATTATAGCATAAACAAACAAAAAATATATTACAAACATTTCAAAAGTAAATACAGCTTAATCTTTAACAATATAAAAGCTGCCGCCATGTTCATTGCTTGCCTGGAAATAAGTACTTCTGGAACTTTCGAAAGTAGATTGGAAACTAATATATTTTATACCATATACCGCAATAACTAAGATAAACTAAAAATAACAATAGACGTTACCATGCGCATTAAACGTTCAACGTTAACTGTACGAATTATATTAAGATTGGTAGAAATTTATAAAAAAAAATTACTGCCATTTATAATGATACGCTATAAATTGCGGGGCCCCTACCAAGCGCGGGGCCCTATTTGGAGCAATCGGTCAAATCGGCCTAAGACCGGCCCTGATCATACACACAAATTTATGTATTACTATACACACACAAATTTATGTATTACCATAAAAATACGCATTGAAGTGCATATGTTAGTCAATTTGAGGTACACTGCAGTCGCAATTGTTAAATAAGTAACAATAAGGTTTATAAGAAATTCATTCATATCTTACCTGACTAAATTATGACTTTTTTGTATTTTTAAGTCTAATTTACTTAACAAAGTGCACTAACGAGAAGGTAAGCCATAGGACTTTGCACTTCATCTGTGTACTATTATTTTGCCAAAGGTTAGCCCTCCATTTCTGGATTCTTACCTTTTCTTGATAAGCACGTAATGTAAAGTATTATTAGGTTATTTATTAATGTAAAGTAATATCAAGTTAAATAATATTAGAACTATAAAGGTTAACCCTCCATTTCTAGATTTTATGTAAAGTATTAGTAATCTTATTTAAGGTTAACCCTGCATTTTTAAATTCTTTTCTTGATAGGAATTTTTCTTATTTATTTATTGATTTTTATTATATTTTTGTTATTGAAGATCAATCAATATAAAATAAATATAGGCTAACTCTCTCTCTCTCTCTCTCTCTATCTCTCTCTCTCTCTCTCTATATATATATATATATATATATATATATATATATATATATATATATATATATATATATATATATATATATATATATATATATAACTGAAATACTTCTTTCACATTCACAAGATGTTATTGGAATTGTTCCTGATATATAAATAAAAACTTTTATTATATTAAACTTCTCATGCCAATGGCCTTTAAATTACTAGCAACAGTTAAAGGAATATTTGACTGGTTTTTCAAAAATGATTCCCATAAATCTAAGTCAGCATGTATTGAAGTAAAATGAGGCATATTCAGATAAATAGAAATTTAGAAAAATCAGATTTCCATGGTTTCTTAACTTGTATTCTGGACAGTAAAGTTAAAGGAACTGCTGCTAGACCTTTATAGTCAAACATACCATTTTTTAGAAACCTATTATCTAGCTCATTAATAAGATGTTCAGTTAATGGAGAAGTAATGCTATGTTTAAAATAGTCACAAACTGTATTTGTAGGATAATTATACTGGTAAACCTGAAAAGCACGCAATCTAGGTCTCATTTCTTGGACATCAAGACTAAAACCAAAAGCCAAACTAAAAGCAATAGCTACTACAACTAAACTATGGCAACTACAACTAAACTATGGCCTATGGCTTGTACAATGAATAAAAAAAGCATTATGATTTAGAGCTTTTATTAAAGAAGTAGCTCCTCTATATTCACCTCTCATAAATCCTGTACCATCATACCCTTGGCCTCTACAACCTTGAATATCAAGTCGAAAAATTGTGTTGAAGTACATTAAGTAATTTTAGTAAGTTATTTTAATAAATTTAGAGATAGACTAAGACCAGATGTACCAGACTTGCAATCAAGAAAATCTTCGCAAATCTCATTATTTGACTTTACATATCTTAAAAAAAGTGACATTTGTTCAGTATTTGAACAGTCAACTGCTTTATCACAAAGAATTAAAAAAAAAATTGAAATGCTTAACATTTAGTACTAAATCTACTTTAATTGTTTTTCCACCAGAATCAATAAGTTGGTTTAGGGTAGTTTTATAAAGGTTTTTGATATAAAGGTTTTTGTAAAGGTCTTTGATAAAATGGTTTTGATATAAAGGTCTTTGATAAAAAGATTTTTACAAAGGCCTGTGATATAAAGGTTGCATTTTTTGGAGTTAAAAAAAGGTGATTAGCTAATATTTGATCACCAACATTTACGCAAATTTTTAAAAGCTGTAAGAAGTTACCTCTTCCAACCAAGAAATATTATTTTTTTTAATTAATGGAACAAATTTTTTTCAGTTATCAAATAAAACGAGAAATAAATCAACCTTAATAACATTACTTTTGGGGTTGCAACATGAACATAATCAGGCCCGACGAGAGGGGGGTCAGAGGGGGTATTTTCCCCGGGCCTGGGCCCGTAGGGGCCCGGGCCCATCATCATCGGTCTCTTAGTCTATCAGGTCCCAGTCTCCAGGTAATCAGCCAATCCCCATCAAGCAACATTGTGTCTGCATCACTTCATCAGTTAGATAAATAAATAAATTTACTATGTAATATTGATAGGATAAATCTATTCTTTATTAATAATTTAATTTATTTAATGAAAATACGCTTTTGAGAGTAAAAACGGAGACTAATAGCCTCTAAAACTTAAAGAATAAATATAGGGCACCAGCCCGCAGGTTTTTCGTAAGTTCCTTGCTCATGCCATGCTTTATAATATATATAATAGGCCTATATATATATATAATATAAATATATAATATAATATAATATGTATAATAGGCCTATATATATATATATATATATATATATATATATATATATATATATATATATATATATATATATATATATATATATATATATATATATATATATATATATATATATATATATATATATATATATATATATATATATATATATGTTTGTAAATCAGCTTAAAGCGGACATATATGTATAAAAAATCCACCCTAAAACGGACGAATAATATAAAAATAAAAACTTTTTAACTTTTAAATTTAAATTATGAATTTATATAAGAGTTATAAAACTTTAAAAAAATCCTTGCACGAAAAGTTATGGAAAAACTAGTGACTTTTTTTTAACTTAAAGTTGTAAAACATCAAAAACAGCATCGTATTAACTAATATTTCTTTTTTGTGAAATTTCGGTCTAAATCATAAAAAAGAAAAATTAGTTAGTACGATGCCGTTTTTGATGTTTTACAACTTATTTTACTACTAAAAGTACTACAAGAAATGTCGCTAAAACACTTATTTTAAACTATTTATTTATATGTAGTTATAAAACTTTGTAACTCGATTAAAAAAATTTACAATTGCTTTAAAATCACAAGCGAAATACCATTAATGAGATCTAAAATATAAGAAAACGCTACACTGAATAAAAGTATGTTTTACGTTAAGATAGCGTAAAGTTTTACGTTAAGCAGACTTATAGTATGAAAATTATTCTTCATATTACGTAAAGCAGACATTAAATTTTTTATTTAGTTTTTTTGTACCTAAGGTGAGTTTAATTACAAAATTTGTTTTCTAAAGCAAAAATATTAGGTTTTTACTAAGAACCTCATTGCTATTTGTCTTAAGGACCAAGATTTCAAGTGTCTGTTTTAGGTCAACTTTTTAATACTGTCTGCTTAGCGATCAATTAGCGTTATATATATATATATATATATATATATATATATATATATATATATATATATACATAATTTAATATATAAAGTTATATATATATATTATATACATGTATCTATTTTATTTATACAGTATATACTGTACTGTACATTAAACTGAACTTCTATTTTAACTTTTAACAATTATTAATTGTCATTTATTTTAATTTGTCAATTTACTTATTAACTTAACTAATAAATTTTTGTTCTATTGTTACAGGACCTCGCATAGGCAGCCTACTACATGCAGCTATGGATCATTACCAGCATAAATCTGGTGCTCAAAAAAGAAAAGAAAAGATTGCTTGAGAAAAATCAGCCAAGAAGGGTCAAAGTACGATTGAGTCTTTTGGATTTATAAATTGTAATCGTATTGATGGTGTTTCTGAGGATCAGATGTGCAAGATGAAGTCACAACTCTCAAATGTTGAAGTAGAGCCTGTGCCAGTTGAGGAAGATGAATTGTTAAATAGGAAAGTTGTGAGTGCTGATGTGAAAGAGAATGTAATAGACGAAAATGAAAATATTCTTCCAAAGACATCAACTTCAAGGCTAGAAGAATTACAAGACAAGGCAGATGATGTCCAACTAGTTCCATCAAATAACTATGATATTGGTTTAATTAAGGAATTATTTTGCACTGCTGAACAAATAGAAAAATTTGTTCATCATGGACCCATTGCTTACCCAACAAAATTTCCAAAAGATGCATTGCCTAAATCATTTCCGCGCACGTTATTTCACATTGCCATGCCAAATGGCGAAAAAATTCCACGAGATTGGCTAACGTGGAGTGAGACGAAGAATGCACTTTACTGTTTTCCCTGCCGACTTTTCTCTAAAATGCCAGAAACCCATCGATCGGCATTATTTCTGCCAACAGGATATTCCAAGCCCAAGGACAATAAATGGAAGAAACTTTATGAAAAAATTTCTCATCATCAATCCAGCAGTGGGCATAAGATGTGTTATGTAGAATGGAGACGATTAGAAGAAAATCTCAGAGATAATACAACTATCAATTTTCTACTAAATGATAATATAAAGACAGAAGTGGAAAGATGGAGGCAAATACTTCGTAGAGTATTAGATGTTATCTTGTTTTTGGGTTAAAGAGGTCTTGCATTTAGAGGCGATAGTCATTTAATTGGTGACCCAAAAAATGGGAATTTTTTGGGAATTATGGAACTCATTGGTCATTACGATTCCATTCTACATGATCATCTCGAAAAAGTAAAAGCTTCTCAACAGAGCCATAAGCGAATGCAAGCAAATTATTTGTCAAATGATATCCAGAATGAGTTTATTCAGTGCTGTGCAGATAAAGTCACAGATGTGATATGCAAATATTTTTCAATGATTGTGGATGCAACGCCTGATAAAGCTCATATTGAGCAAAATGTTTTTATTTTAAGATACGTCTTACAGGACAAATTGACAGGAAAATATGAGGTAAAAGAGAGATTTCTGGAATTTGTAGATTGCAATAAAAAAACTGGTGAAGATATTGCAAATATAATTACTTCTACTCTTCAGAAACATAAAATACCACTGATGTGCTGTCGTGGACAAGGATACGACAATGGGAGTAATATGAAAGGTTCAGTCAAGGGAGCACAAGCTCGAATTCTTCAACATTATCCACTTGCTACTTACTCTCCCTGTGCTTGTCATAGTCTGAATTTATGCGGTGCACAAGCTGCTGAATGTTTTCCTCAAGTGATAACTTTCTTTGGGATAGTGCAAAAACTGTATAACATATTTACTAGCAGTCCTCAAAGATGGGAAATTTAAAAAAAAAAAATTGGTTTGTCTCTTCATAGCATGTCCCAAACGCGCTGGTCAGCTAGGGTGGACTGCATTAAGCCATTCGCAACCCACCTTCCTGGTTTAATCAAATTAGTAGCTGATATAAGGAACCTAAATTTGTCTATAGAAAATCGTGCTGATCTAAATGGGATTATTTCATATATGGAATCGTTTGAATGCATTCTGATGTCCGCTATATGGTTCAAAGTACTTACTGCTATCAATTACACCAATCTTGTTTTGCAAGCACGGAATGCTACATTGGATGAAGAAGTGACCAACATCAAACGACTAATTGATGAATTAAAAACTCTTCGAGATAAATGGGATTCTATTATGGTGGAGAGTAAATTAGTAGCAAACACCTTAAACATTTCTCAAGAACTTCCAGAACCTGACGAAAAATTAGGAAGCAATTTGCTGATGAGACACCTGATGAAATTTCTCTATCAAATTCTGAAAATAATTTTAAACAAAACGTTTTTTATATATTATTGGACTGCATTATAGGGAATATCAGTAGACGATATGAAGCTGCATATGAAATTGACGAAACTTTTAACTTTCTCTGGAAGTATAATCATTACGAAGAGGAAGAAATTCGCCGAAGGAGTAAGGATTTTGTGAATAAATACAAGGATGATGTTTCCACGGAGCTGATTGATGAGCTTTTGCATTTGAAATTTATCTATGATGTTAACATCAAAAATGATTTGGACCCCTTTTTTCTTCTCAATAAAATCAACGACCTGAAACTTATATTTCTTTTCCCCTGAGAATTTTTTGTACATTACCAGTTACGGTAGCACAAGCTGAACGGTCTTTTAGCAGACTGGTGCTTATAAAAAATGATTTAAGTCAATAATGACGCAAGGTAGAGTTTCTGGCTTGGGAATTTTAGCGATGGAGTGTGATTTAGCAAAAAAGATCAATTTTGACAGTGTAATTGCTGATTTTGCCAGTAGGAAAAGGTTTTATATATTTTAATTTTGTTGTAGTTAAGTTATATATAACTTTTCACTGCATTGTATTTAAAATATACTTGTAAATAAAATAGTGTATATAGTCAAATTAAAAAATTATTTGTATCAATAGTAGTATTATTCATATGTCTGAAGCCCTAAGCCCTGAGGGGGCCCGTCAGTTTGATATTACCCAGGCCCGGTACCAGCACTCCACGGCCCTGAACATAATGGATTGTAAAACACAACTCTTTTCATGTTTTTTAAAATCATGAACAACATTACCCCATTCTTGATGAGGCTTGAAAACTAAATTTAGTATTCCAGATTTGTTTGGAATACTAGCATATAGCAAAGTATAAAGGAAAACAGTAAGCTCGATGTTCATTGCTAGAATAAGCTAACCAAAAAAGTGGCTGAGTCATTCAATTTTAAATTATCTTTTTGTATTAGTCTATTAAATATCTATTAAACAGATATTGGAAAAACAAATATAGAATTAGGACGAAATACTTTGTTTACTATATCTAACAAAATCGCATCGTCTTTACCAGATATTAAAAGTTTACTATGGGTTAGATATGTTGAAACATCATATAAAGTATTTAAGTCTTTATATAAAGGAATATTAACTGAATTGGAATCTAATCACTTAAATGTTTTAGAATCTACAGAAAGTTTATAAGGCAACTCTATAAAAGCATTGTCTTTTTTGAAGTTAGTTTTAGATTGAATTTGGACATGTTTTGCAGAATTAACTTTTTTTTGTAAAAGAAACAGAGAACTGTTTTTTTATTTGTTTCATTTTTAGGACTATGGTAGTGTCACAGTTATTGGCATGACTCAATTATTTTCATTTTGTTTTAAAAAATATATAGCTATTTCTAGTTGAAAAGTAAAAAAACATCACCGTATAAACAAAGTAATCTATCGTCTACTATTTGAGTAAAAAATTATTGCTGGTTGTCTATTCTTTCATAACAATTTTAATATAAGTAAAAAAAAAAACGCAATAATTTGGCGCCAATGTTAACTTCGATCTGGTTTTCGTTTTCGAAGAAATCAAGAACATTTTTTTCATTCCTTGATTTGTTAATTATAATCAGAAGTCTAAAATGGAACTAAAGGTAATATGAAATATTATATAAAAATAATTTAGAAAAAAATTTTATTTTACAATAAAAAATAAAAGAGTTATTCTTTTTTTAAATTTAGGTACCAAACACTGTGACAACTCAAACATTGGCACGGCAATATAAGTATTTTTAAATGGATATGTTTATAACTTTTAAAATAAGTTTCCAATGTTGGCATTATTTATATTTAAGTTATTACTAACTGTAAATCTGAGTTAATTTGTGCTCTATTAATTTATTTTTCAGACTAAAATATAAAAATCAAAGAAGTCTAGTAACAACAGACAAGTTAAGAGAAAGCAGTATGACAATAGGAGCATGCAGAGCGCGATTTTTTGATAAGACATATTTGATTTTTTAACTCAGTTAAAAAATCAAATATGTCTATCAAATCAGCTGCAAAAAAATATAATGTTCCTCACAGTACTCTACAAACAAAATTATCTGGTTTAAGCAACCTTATGTGTAGACCTGGACCAACACCTACTTTGGCACTATTTATAGAAGATGCATGTGAGAAGTATCTTATTGAAATGGCAAGAAGAAGATTTCCTCTAAAAATAAATGACTTGCTATTATTAGTTTCAGAAATAATACATAAAAAATTGCATCCTGCTGTTTTTAAAAATGGAATCCCTTCTAGAACTTGGGCATACAGATATCTAAACAGGTACCCTGACTTAAAGTCTAAAACATCCGAACATCATTCTTTTGGTCGGTCTAGTGTCAACAAAGAGTCCTTATTGGCATGGTATAGAAATTTTGAAAAATTTATTGAAGATCAGGAGTTAAAACATGTGATTCAGTCGCCAGAACGCATTTTTAATTTAGATAAAACTGCTTTTTATTTAAACTCAAACAAAGGTAAATTCATTGGTAGAAAGCATGAGTGTCTGCAACAGGTTTGCACTACTAGTGAAAAAGAAAATGTCACAGTTGCAATCAATTTTTCGGCCGCAGGAGAAATGGCTCCTCCTATGGTAATTTTAAAGAGGCAGAAATTATCTAAAAATCTTCAGCAATGTGCTCCACTTGGAATAATAATTCAGAGAAGCTCTAGTGGATGGATGAAGAGGGAAACTTTCCTTTATTATATAAAAGAGTTCAAAAGATATTTGATTGGTAAAGACTTGCTTAACATAAAAGACAATAATCAAAAAGTTATACTTTTAGTTGATAGAAATTCCAGTCATCTGAGCTATGGTGCATCTAAGTATTGTGAAAATACAGAAATTGTACTATACTGCTTGTACCCAAATGCTACACATGCGCAGCAACCTGCTGATGTTGGCGTTATGAACTCTCTTCAAGGCTGGGCGTGAAGTTCACATTTACAGAATGAGTCACGCAGGAGCTGTCATTACAAGTGAAAAATTTCCTGCTATGGCAATGAAAGCTATAATTCAAATAACTGCTCCAATCATGAAAAAAGCATTTGATTGCTGCGGTTTATACCCATTTAACCCAGATAGAGTTAACTTTAAGAAGCTATTATCAACTTATCAACAAGCTCCACAACCGAGTTTCACATTTGATGTGGCTAAAAAACTTGCATTAGAAGGCCTAAAGAAAAGCTTGTCAGAAGCTGAACTCAAGCATTTTAAAGTATGAAGCAAAGACAGTACTAACTGTTCACAACACTGGTGCAGATTGTATGAAATATGGAGAGATATGGATGCCGAAGTAAGACTAACATCAAAGACCTCTGATACCTTAGGTGTGTATTTTTATATTTATTCTTTTTTGTTACTATTTTAATTTCATTTAAATAAAGTATTGAAGATAAATGGATGTTTCAAGCAAAATATTAAGTGAAATTTTATTTTGGCAACTTCATCAGACATAGACTTTATTGTGAATCCATGATTTGTAAACAGTCAGCAAATACTAAATACTGAGAAAGAAATTAATGAAATTCATTTTGCACAAGGTAATATTATTATAATTTTTATAATGAGATAATAATAGTATGAATATTATGTTTTCTGTCATTTTAGAGAGTTCTGTAAACTTAGAGTCAAATTCATTTACTTCTATTATTTCTACTAGCTTGGATAATAGCTTATTAGGTAAGCCAACAAAATAACTACTTATGTAAAATAATGTATTATTTTTTTAATTATATTTTTTGATTAATACTTCGTAGATTATGGATCAGATATGGATGAAGTTCCTAATAATTTCCAAGTTTCCTTAGATCAAGATAAAGCAACAATGTTGGTGGTGAAAAAAATACTAAAAGTTCCCGTTTCCAGTAAACCTATAAACAAAAAAAAAGAAACGTCTAGTATATGCTCTATTTACACAAGAGCATAGAGAAACACTAATAAATAAAGTCAATAGATTAATAAAAGATGAAAATTGGATTTGTTATGTTTGCAAGGCAAATTATGATGAAGAACTAAGATCAAAGTTGTGGGTGAATTGTGATACATGTGATCGTGCTGTGCACCTAAACTGTATATCTATGGAGCGCAAAAAACTAACAAACTTAAAAAAACTTATTAAAAAAAAAACTTTCCTTTTGCGTGCGAAGAATGCACTTAAATAATTTTATTTCTTTAAATTCTCTTCAATTTCGTATTTTGTTTTTTGTTTGTACAATAAATATTACAATATTTATGGTACAAAAAAAAAACAAGACTTTTAAAGTAAAAAAAAAATTCGATGTTTAGGTTCTCTAGATCTGGATTAAAATTGATGCCAATAATTGAGTCACGCGTGCCAATAACTTGGGACAGCGAATCAACGTACTTATAATGTTAATATATACAAGAATATTTGCGTAAATAAAAAGTTAATTGCAACAGGTCATTTGTAATGATTTATCTAAATTGTGCCAAATTTAAAAAAAGTTTCATTCACCGGTACGATTTTTGCAAAGAAATATGTATCAAAAATAGCGTTAAGGTGCCAATAACTGTGACACTACCATATTAAAGTGTAAAGGATAAATAAAAATAAAAAAAGTATATAAAATAAGATCAGTTTAAATTATTTTCTAGCTTAAAATAGATAAAACCATTAACTTTAGTAATAGGGTTTACCTTAAAGCAACATAATCTTTACCATCTTCTGGCATCCGGATCAAACAATCCATTTAAAAATTTTAAATGGATTGTTTATAAGACTGATTATAAGGCTGCACTGGACACTCGTTATTTAAAATTTTCAACTCCTTAGTTAACTGATTTTTACATTTGCGAATATTTTGCAAATACCTAGCCTTAATTACATTTGAAGCTAAAAAATTCTTCTTTGTTTCAAAACTTTAATTTACAAGCAAAGTCCTACGACAAAAGTTACAAGCAAAGTATGTATATCAGAATACAACCATGGTGAGGCATATCACTGATCTCAAAATGATAACTAGATAGCGCAATCGGAAAAATTTTTGAAGCCAGTTTTGGTCTACCAAGATGGCGGCGTAGTTTGCCAACGGTTATAGAAGTACCGTTTAAAAAATCAAGCGTAATCGATAAAGATATAATTTAAAACACAAATAAGTTTTTTTTTTTTTTTAAAAACAATTTTTAAAAATAAAAGTAGGTATATTTATATATATATATATATATATATATATATATATATATATATATATATATATATATATATATATATATATACATATATATTATTTATCCTAATATATATATAATATATATATATATTAGGAAAAATAATATTTATATTATGCAATATATATATATATTTTTATAAATATGTATAAATTTATTTTATTATAAAATAAATAAAATCCTTCAAAAAAATTTAATAACCAGTTTATGTACCTTTTAGTTCTTAATTATCTTATGCTGTGTGCTAGAAAGTTAATAACACAACTGAATGATTGGAAGCTTAGTATCTGTTTAATATGAATCTTAAAAAAGATGTCTTAAAAAATTTTGTTTTAAACAGATACTTGTAATGTACATATGCTGCATGAACTATTAGCTGAGCTCTGTTAGTACACACAACTCAGAAGTTCCTTCTAGAGTTTGTTATCATTAATTATTTTAGTTTAATTTTGATAGATATTTTTTTTAATACAAATAAATATACTAACTATATACACACACATAAATATGCTCACCTAGTACATTTAAGTAAGTGTATATATATATATATATATATATATTATATATATATATATATATATATATATATATATATATATATATATATATATATATATATATGTATAAATATATACATATATATATATATATATATATATATATATATATATATATATATATATATATATATATATATATATATATATATATATATATATATATATATATATATATATATATATATATATGTTTTGTGCATATACCATCAAGGTGTTTAATGAACAGAGCTATAATATAGAAGAAAATAAAACTATGTGTTGCAATCATCAGGTAAAATACTTTTCATTTTTATTTCACCTGATGATTGCATCAGCATGAAACTTAATGTTGTGAAATTTGCATGAAATTCGTTTTATTTTCTACTATATATATACATATATATATATATATATATATATATATATATATATATATATATATATATATATATATATATATATATATTTATCAAAATAAATTTTCTATTTTTGCTGGGAGTTATATTTACAGCAGGATTATTTTTCTACTTTATATATGTTTAATTTTAATTAATAACTTGTTTCATTATAAGCAGTCTTCTAAAGTTTTCATTTAAATTGCTTCTTTTCTTTGTTTTTGATATACTGCAGCCGTTTTTCAAAACGCCTTAATTACGTATTTCAAGAAAAAAAAATTAAAAAAAAAAAAAGAAATATCTGATCTCGAGAATAAGTGACGCCAATAAAAATTAAAAAAAAAGGTTTTTTTAAACTTTTGAAGGAATGATCTTGTTAAGGTTAATGAGGCTAGGCAACACCCTGGCATATATAACTCCTGATAAGTCGTAACCTTTAAGCGTCCAAGCAAATACTGGAAGTTCAATTTTTTAAAGGTTTGAGTTATCAGGAGTTTACTGTGTATATATCGATGGCATAGTGCACAGATGTGGTAAGTGCAAGACTAAAAACTGTAGTAACTGTCATTTGCGCGCGTAATTATAATAAGAAGAGTTTTTGTATTTACCACATATTGTCAATTATTACACTCTTTATCATTTATCGTACACATACCATATTTATGCACGATAAACTATAAATAAAAACAGGTTTTTCTGCGTACTTATCTCAATTTGACCAAAATTTGTACTTACCATATCTGTGCACTAAAATGGTATACTAAAAACAAATGTTTTGATTGATTTTTGAATAAGACAAATTTAATCAACTGCTTCTTTTTTTCCAATAAGACAAATTTAATCAACTTTTCCAATAAGACAAATTTAATCAACTGCTTCCTTTTTTCCAGTCAATTTGTTAGTTACTTCTTTGTGTAGGTAACGAAAGTGTATTTTTGAGTAATTTTTTGAAATAACTTTAATCAGTGAAAATAAATGCTTATCAGTTAAAGACGAACCAAGCATATGATGAGTTGGTTCTGTGAATACTTTTGATAAATCAACTGATCTTAAAACAACACTTGAATTTGCATTTTTAATTTCTATATCATTAGGCAGGGTAATATTTGTTGATGTAAGAAACCTTTGGAAACATCTTTCTGTTCCTTCGCATACCAAAACAACACTTTTGCTTGGTTTAACCAAACCTCCTCTAGAGAATTTATTCTTAATAAAATGTAACATACATATGTTACATCTTTCAGGGCCACTATAATTTTTAAAGTTTTTCCCTGAGTTTTCCCTGAGTATTCCCTGAGTAAAGAACATTTTTCCCTGAGTTAAACTCTTTAAGTTGCCTGAGTTTTCCCTGACTTTTCTCTACTTTTCTATATTCTTTCCTGCTTATCAACAAGATTATTATTTTCCTTAATTAAACACAATCTTTATACTTGACAAACTAAAAGTTTTACAACAACACCCACATCTTCTAAACTTATTTTTATATGTATTAACAAAATATTTTTGAAAAAAAAAATTATTGTACAAAATTTCAAAAAAAAAAAAATTTTCCCTGAATTTTATAAAAGTTTTAAAAAATCCCTGAGTTTTCCAGGTTTTCCCTGGGTTTTGTGCTATTTCCAGGTATTCCAGGTTGAGTGGCAACCCTGTCTTTACATACTATGTATGTGTTAAACTGTCAATAATTGTTCTTCAAACTTTGAGGAATAATTATTCACAGTTGAGTTTGACAATGACTTTAAATTTAAGTCATTGAGAAATTCTTCTTTACTTTGAAATATAAATATTGTTTTATATTTTCACTGATTAT